GGGAGGATCCCCATGGTGAGGGTGACCACCGCCAGCCTCCTAGATCCCAGGAGACAATTTCCCTGCCCACTCCTCCTGGAGGAGCACCCCGAGGCAGAGGCAGGCAGAGTCACTTGCTCCAAGCCACCATTAAATACTGAGCAAAGCCTGGGAGGGCCACACAGCCTGGCAGCCCGAGCCCCTCCTCTTGCCCAGGGGTCCCCGTGGCCCTTGGGGCTCTGGGCTTATGCCGTGAGCTGCCGAGGCTGGTTTTAAAACCTGGCTGGCCCATGGGTGGCGTCCCCTCTGCTTGCCAGAGCCGTCTCCTGTGGAGCCCGGCAAGGTCCCTGGGAAGGTCCCACCTGCGCGAGGCACTGAGAGCTCTGAGAAGGTGCTGCAGGGAGGGACGTGCAGGGCTGCCCTGGCGCGTGGGGACCGAGTCCCGCACCACGCCTTGCTAGAGGCACTTTGCCTGCCATGGGGTCCCCGTTAGCGGAGTGGCTCGTCCTCACCCAGCTCCAGGCCTCAGTGAGCGGCTCTAGCAGTGCAGCCTGCTTCAGTCCTCTCTGACCCCCTGAAGCAGCTCCCAGAGCGAGCTGGGGACAGAGTGCCCGACAGTGGTGCAGCCTCGCAAGGACACCGCTTTGCAGCTGGGACCAAGGAGGAGAAGAGAGGGAGTCCAGGTTTCTCCCTTCCTCATCCCTTGAACACCAAGGTGCTGACTTTTCATGATTCAGAATCCTGCCTAACTCCGGGAGCACTGGAATTCCTAGACTATGACTGACTGTTAGTGTGCGTCTGCTTCAAATGTCAAGAGAGCCTTTAAGAACAGCTCGTGAGGAATGCTGAGACGGGACGGTGCGCGGGGACGGGGAGGGCCTGCGGCCGGGTGAAACGAGCCATGGACTGCCCGCCACCAGCGCCTGTGGCTAAGGAGTCTTGACAGGTTGTCCCTGGGGCTGAGCTCAGCGGGCACTGGAGCTGCCCTGGAGTGGAAAGGAGAACAATGGCGGCTCAGCCAGTGCTGGGTTTGCCAGCAGGACTTGGGTTGTGTTCCTCCCAGGGGTCAGTTATGTGTGTGCGTGTATTGTGTGAATGTGTGAGGGGTGTGTGTATAGTGTGTAGTGTGTGTATAGTGTGTAGTGTGTGTATAGTGTATAGTATGTGCATAATGTGTGTAGTGTGTGTATGTGTGTAGAGTACGTGTGCGTGGCAGAGGGCACTGTCTCCCAGACTTGCCTGGTTCCCTGAACACGTGGAGTCCTTGTTCCAAGGAGACCACCTGCTTGCAGATGTGGAAGCGTGGGCTTGGC